TAGTTCATCACTTTCCTTCAGAAGATTAAGACAAAAATCGGCAATTTTTTTTGAGTAAAAACTGAAAATTTACTCAAATTTTGTCTGTTGGCTCCAAAATTAGGGTTCATTTCCAAAAATATTAAAAAATACTATCAGTGCAGATAAATTTGGGCGAGAAAGTCTGGGGGTAAAAAGTACATGTTCTTATATTAAGAATTGATGTGGTTTGTTGTACTTCTCTTGTAATTGTATTAATTAACAAAGTTTAAGCAACTTATGGAAATTAAGGTCAAAATTGAATTTTAATTGTCCAGGAAGTTGTTTTTTACATGTGATTACTAATACTGTAGAATACTTTATTTTCACTTGGAATTTATTTTCGCTATTTTCACTGAATGAATGATTCCGTGAAAATAAAATCCAGCGAATATACTTTTTTTCCTATATTTCACATTAAACTCATCAAAAATCAGAGAAATTAAATTCCAAGCAAAACGCCCTTTCATCGAAAATTAATTCCAGCGAAAATAAAGTATTCCACAGTATGTGTCTGAATTTTAAGTTAAATAATTTTACAAATTAATTTCCACAGCTGCACATAATAATAAATATGTACTCCCTATATATTTTGCATATACATTTTTTATTTAATTTTGATTATTTATCTACTGGCAGTTTTTTCAATTGGTAATTTTAAAAAATATGTTAAAATAATACAAAATCAAATATACAAAAATGCATCAAATAATAACATAAAAAATAATGGAAACAAAAATTTTTAATAAAATAAAATAAAATAATTATATAAAATTAAAAAAGAAAATCATAAAATACATCTGATTTCAAACAGATTGCATATGGCCGATATTTTGTTTGCTTTCATTTGATAAATCAAATGACATGAAAACATTCGTGGCTACATTTGTAGTAAGCTTGTGACTGCTTGAGCTGTTACATGAAACAAAACTCTATAAATAGATGTCTGTGTTGCAGTATTATTTAGGTCACGTAAATCACAGTATGATGTGACAACTTATATAGACTGGTGAAAATATCAAATTTACCCACAACTGATCTCTTTAGAACTAAAAAATATGTATTTTGTATTGTTTGCAATGGAAAAATGAAATTGCATAGGTAAAATTAATTATTATTATAGCAAGTGAAAAGTCTTTAGACAAGGATGACACTGGATTATGTAGTAACGGTCAACAAAACAATTGAACTTCAAACTGGTTGCCATGTAGACAATTATAGACCATATGTTCTGTTTTTGCTTTTGATTTTTTTATTAGCTCTACTTTGTAGGTTTTATGGGTTATTTTTTTACACTTACTCAAAAAATAAAGTACTATTACTATTATAACAACATGACCTTCATTTCACATGTAAAATAAACACTAGGTTTACCTTGGTTAATAAGGTATAATTTTCAGGTAATACACTACAGGAATGATATGTAAATCCGGCAATGTGTCACTTATCTATTACAT